CTCCGACTGGAGTGAGCGGGGGGGATTGTTTGGGAGGAGGCGGGGGGGGGGTCCTTGACGTATGATGGCCCCAGGCTGTAGAGGGCTTGACAGGTCGATACCGGCAGCACCTTGGCATGAGCCTAGGGGGGCACGGGAAGCCAGGGAAGGCGGGAACGTGGCTAGAGTGATCTGGTCGGCCCTACAGCCCATTCCAGTCGACTCTGCACCAACTGCAGCTTCTGGGCTGTTCTGAAGGGCAGCCCCACGGACAGTGCACGGAAGCCATCGAATGCAGACGTTACCCCAGGGCAGGCACCACCGCGGTGGCCAGATATCTTTCCAGTCAGGAAGGGCTGCAGCCGCCTCACCCGATGGAGCTGGTGAAAAGCCCCCTGGGCCACCACAGCCGCTTGCCTATCCAACAGGAGCACCCCCAGGCTACAAACCGGCTCCTTGAGGGGAAGGGCTTGCTAGCCCTCAATCCATTCCAAAAGCGCCTCCAGGCCTCTGTTCACAGCCCAGCCCCCAGCCCCACCTACACACTCTACTGAGAGAAGGACACTTCCCTGCCATCGTGCAGCTCCCCACTTCCTGTCCTCCCAGCCCCAGGCCTCTGCAGTCCGGGCCGCTGCGCTGTAGCTCTGCACTGCTGCGCTTCCGCTTCAGAGGGCCACCCGGGGCACCTGCTGGCCAGGAGGCGGTTGGTCTCATGCAGGACCTCAGCAGCAGCAGCCCTCCGTCGGGCAGGGTCTCCACAGTCGCCCCCCCCCACTCTCCCTCATGATTTGTCACAGGCCCTTAATTGGTTCAGCTGAATTGTGAGATCTGGCTTCTATAGCCACAGAGTCTCATAAGAACACCCAAAGAGCCCTGATGGACCAGCCCAGGGAAGGTCCCTCTAGTCCAGCCTCCCGTCTCACACAGGGGCCAGCCAGTTCCTCTGGAGGGCCAGCAACAGGGCATAGAGACCGAGGCCTTCGCCTGAGAAGGACACCAGAAGAGCCCTGCTGGATCAGACCAGGGAGGGTCCCTCTAGTCCAGCCTCCCGTCTCACACAGGGGCCAGCTAGTTCCTCTGGAGGGCCAGCAACAGGGCAGGGAGGCCGAGGCCTTCCCCTGATAAGGACACCAGAAGAGCCCTGCTGGGTCAGACCAGTGAGGGTCCCTCCAGTCCAGCCTCCCGTCTCACACAGGGGCCAGCCAGTTCCTCTGGAGGGCCAACAACAGGGCAGAGAGGCCGAGGCCTTCCCCTGATAAGGACATCAGAAGAGCCCTGCTGGGTCAGACCAGGGAGGGTCCCTCCAGTCCAGCCTCCCGTCTCACACAGGGGCCAGCCAGTTCCTCCGGAGGGCCAACAGCAGGGCAGAGGGGTTGAGACTTTCCCCTGATGTTGCCTTCTGGCTCTGGGATCCAGAGGATTAGTGCCTCTGAATGTGGAGGTTCCCCGTGGCTAGTAGCCATTGACAGACTTTATCCCCCATGAATGTATCTACTCCCCTTTTAAAGCTGCTTGTTCCTGTGGCCAGCACAACACCCCCTGGCAGCGAATCCCACATTTCAATCACTCTCTGACCAAAGTTCCCTTGAAGAGGGGGACAGAATACATTCTGAATTGTAAAAGCAGGTTTGCTTGGAATGGCGCTGCCGCAGTCTGCAGACCGAGAGTCACACTCACTGCTGTCATGGATGGGGTCAGAGATCACGGGCTTCAAGGCGAGCGTGAAGTCCCCACTGCTGTCGCGAAGGTAGGCACTGAAGCGCAGGCGGACGATGCTCAGGTCCATCGTCTTCTTCAGCTCCTTGGCCTCCTGCTCAATCGCCTCCAGCTCCGATGCTGCCAAAGCAGACGCCACACTGCGGTGAGGAGAGGCAGCCCTGGGCATGCTGGGAGCCCCGCCGCCACCACCCCCGCCTGACCGGGTGCCCCCTCCCCCCCCACAGCTGCTAGGGCTACGATCAGAGCCGGTCTGGTGCAGCAATACGGTCTGCAGAAAACCAGGGGAACAGCTGTGAACCCATACAAAGGAACACCGGCCCACTTTCTTCGAGTCGTGTCACCTCTGCTCAAGGGCCACGGCAAATGTGAACCCGTATGTGACCCATGACCTTCTCCCTCGGACATTTTGCCAGTGTCGGCGGGAGGGACACCTCTTGGCTGCATCTGTGTGCCGTAGCTGCCTCAGAGAACTAACGTCCCAGCATGAAACTTCCTGCATGTTTTTATAGGCTATGGAGGTGGACCCCCACATTAGAGATGAGGAGTGAGGCCAAGGGAATGCGACTTCCCTACAACTGCCCACTTGGTTTGTGGGTGAGGTGAGGCGTGGGCGTACTGCTCCCTGCGCAACATGCACCACCAGCCCGAGAGAGACCAGAGCTCTGCCTGCTTAGCCAGATGGGACTTCTGCAGGAAACACACACACCCCACACACACCCGAGAAACAGACCCCCCGCTGTGCATCTTCTGGAGGGCCCAGAATGCGGCTCCAAGTGGTGTCTCCCGGCTCCTCCAACTAGCTTGCAAAGTCTTGTAAAACAAGGGCCAGCCTGACTTGCTCAGTATTTGCGCTGACCTAGCACAAGGCCGCAAATGCTGCGCTGTGCCACCTACCCACAGAGGCTGGATAGGCTGAGGAAATCTTCCAAGTGGTCCTCACCCGCCCTACGTTTTAAGAGCCACAACCCACAGAACCCCAGTTGGCCAGAAAACCCTACTAGTTTTAGGGGTATCCTTATTGACAAGAAAACGGGGCTTTGCACATGCTCAGCAGCCGTGTGTGCTCTGCTCTTTCCATTCACCTGCCTGCTTTCTGTCTCCCCCCCCCCACCTCTTTCCTGTCACCTGCCGTCAAGTACCTTCAATTTGGGAGCACACCTGGGAGTCCAAGTGGTATAACCATGTTTGCTGAGTAAAGCAAAAAATTTTTTGAACTGGGGGGGGGGGGGGATGATGCAAACTCGCAAGACCAGCCCCGGAGGCCACGGCCTTCTCCTTGACCACACCCACCCACCACCCACACACCCCCGTCCCTGGCTCCAGGTCACCTGTCGGAGGCTGCATCCTGTTCCGCATCTTCTGCTTATGCAGCTTTTCCTTGATGATCTCCATCATGTTTTTCTTTGTCACGTGAAGCACACCCAGGTTATTAAATCTGAGAAAGAACACATCCACACAGCATTTGAGAACAAGACACAAAGCACCGGGCTGGGCAGCTACAAAGCAAGCCAGGGCACTACTGCGGAAACAGACTCTACTGAAGATGAGATCCACCTTCCCTTCCTCATACAAGCTGTGAAAAAAGGATACGGGAAGGTTGCAGACCCACACGGGAGCCACCAGAGAATGAGGGGGCTCCGCAGTGTTCTACGCAGAAGAAGCAAGATCCCATGGCTGGAGGCCACCTGTGCACCAAGGAGGCACCCCAAGGCGGTAGGCAGAAGGCTCCCAGTTGCTCCTCCACACGCAGCACAGAAGTGTGCAGAAGGCAGGAGCCCCCCACTGTAGCAGGACGGCCAAGAGTTCCAAGTAATCCCCCAATTGACTGTAGACTGGGTTTTCTGTTTGATTTGGACAGGCAGTGAGAACCCCAGAATTCAAGAGGTCCTAGCAGGACACCCATTTAGAACTTCAGCACTGGGCTGCTGAAGACCAATTGCATGCATTCAGCATTAGGCACTTAAGATTTGTCTTTCTGTGTAGAACAGTAGGAGATACACGTGAAAAATAACTGAACTGCAAAAGCCAGAACTCCTCTAGTCAAACCTCATCTCGGCCACAAACATAAGGGAAACCACAGTTTCTCAGCCAAACCCCCCCCCCCCCCAAAAAGGGAATAAAGGATTGCATAGATAATATATGTGAAAGGAAGATTTTTGTCTTTCATGGCAAATTTGATTTGGTAGTAGCAAAGGGACATTGCAAAAGCAGGGTACTTTCACATACACTAAATAACGCACCTTCACTCTACTTGCAATGCACTTTGCAACTAGATTTTACAGTGTGAAATGACAACATCCACTTGAAAATGGCCGCTGAAGTGGACTGAAGCGTCACTGTTTAGCATGTGTCACAGTGCCCCCCCCCCCAGTGTCTGCACCCTCATGTTCACCCTGAACTCCTCCCCCCGCACAGAGAGTGGGAATCCGGTTCAAGGCAATCGGCAGGCCTGCCTGGAGGAGGCAGCTGCCTCTAAAGCAGGAAGGAGGTTTCGGTCTTGCAACAAGCAACTGCACGGAAGCTGGTATTTGTCTGGCTCGGTACACTGTGTCACAGAGCACCACCACCCCCTGCGCAGAATGGCACGGGGTACGCAAGACTCTTCATGCACAGGCAGCACCCAGCAGATTAGGTACCCAACCCGGGCTTCTTTGGAAGCACGTGCAACAAAGTCCTTTGATAACATCTCACTCTTCGTAAAACTGTCTGCTTGTCATGAAGCCCTGTGAACGTCTTAAAATGTGACCCAAACGAGAATGCCAGGAAGGCCATGGCCACATGCACAGCACCATCCAGCACACTCTGACGCTCTAAACCACTTCCAGATGCTGGCCAAGGCAGCTCGAATCCTGAGCTCCTCACACACGGAGATGGAGGGGACCGGGGCCGTAATTACTGGCCACTCGGTCCACTTGTGACTGAGACGGGACTCAGATGAGAGTGCGGCAGGCACGCAAGGCCTTCAAGCTGTTCTGCAAGAGACCACAGACTCCGTCATCTCTTGCGGCTGAGATACGGAGTTAGCCACCAAAAAGATAAAACTCTGTCTTGTGCAAAGAACAGCACACATGTGAGGTTCTCCGTAAGGAGCCCCAAGGGTTCCCAAAAGGGCCCAAAGGGCCCCAATCTCATTGTGGCCAGGCTAGTTCCTGGGACCACTTAAGTGTCAAAGTCCTGCAAAGGTGCTGGAGACCCTTTGCTCAGTTCAGCCCCGAGAAAGCCACGCACAAACAGGAAGTCAGTCCCAACCGGGCCCGGATCCCAGCCCCCGCTCCAATACATACTGCGCAGTCATGTCCTTTGGGCCCACCGTCACCACGCAGTTGCCCGCTTCATTGCACTGCTTCCCCACCAGGCTGTGGGCGTGCACCTGAGGAGGGTCCGTGTGAGTCACCAGGTCCACCTCTATCTTGGCCTGCCCAACATAATTGGAGATCTGCCAAAGAAAGGGGGCCGGGTAAGGTCAAAATGTCCTTTGCTGGTAGGAAAGGAAAACAACCGTTCTTTATTTATTTACTGGGATTTTTACCCCGCCCTCCCCGCAAAACGGGCTCAGGGCGGCTTACAAGGGGCAAAGCCCATATAAAACAGGATAAAAGCAATAAAAACATTAATATCACAACAACAACAATACTCAATTGAAAGCAGGATGGTCTCCGGATACATGCCAGATGGTAGACAGACAGTTCTCCAGGGATGATGTTATCCTATAGCCTATCCCAACCAGGTAAATCCAGTGGTATCAGTCACGCAGAAATACTGGCAGATCTTCCTGGGCCATCCTTAACCCCGATGTTATTCACTGCATTGGTGGCAGTGGTCGTGGCGGCCCCTATGTGAAAGCCTGGCAGAAGAGCTCCGTCTTGCAGGCCCTGCGGAACTGCATAAGGTCCCGCAGGGCCCTGATCTCCTCTGGGAGCTCGTTCCACCAGGTAGGGGCCACCACCAAAAAGGACCTGGCCCTAGTCGCGGCAAGCCTTGCCTCCCGGGGGCCTGGAACCACCAGGTGATATTGTGCCCCGGACCGAAGTGCTCCCAATTGGGGGTATATGTGGGGAAAGGCGGTCCCCTCAGGTAAGTCAGACCCTGGCCATATAGGGCTTTAAAGGTAAGCACCAGCACTTTGAAGCGGATTCGGTATGCTACTGGCAGCCAGTGCAGCGCTTTCAGCCCAGGCTGGATATGCTCCCACTTGGGGAGACCCATCATCAGCCTGGCCGCCGCATTCTGCACTAGCTGCAGCTTCCGGATCTGTGCCAAAGGCAGCCCCATGTAGAGAGTGTTACAGTAGTCTAACCTCGAGGTGACCGTCGCGTGGATCACTGTTGACAGCCATACCCCCTTTAGCCCCTTAAGAATTACCCTCAACATCTTGTACCATTCCTCTCTACTATCAGGCCACTTCCAATGAGTTCCTCCTGATACCAGCCTCTAGCTGCCCAAGAAGACACCACGGAGAATTCAGGAAGAAGCCTGCCATCCGGTACAAGAATATAAATGGAACCCTGGTGCACACACAGATAAATCACAGTCCATTCACATACACTCACTTCTAAAGAGATTATTCATGTACCCTAGAAGCCCAAGGTGGATTAACAGTCATCATATCCAAATACATACAATAAAAATACAAAGCAATTCGTACAAACAGGGTCAGGCCTTGATCAGGCAAGCAGACAAACCAAGCCAACAGCCCAAGCAACCCCGCCTCCTGGCCTTCCGGCACCCACCCGGCTATGCTCCTGCTGCCCCCCAGTTTTCAAACGTGCCTCTGATTTCCTGCCCCTGAGGCTCCACCGCAGTGCCAAAAAATGCCGACCTTCCAATATCACAATAATGTGCACAAAAATAAATCTTTGCGACACTTTAGTTGCGTATCTTAATATTGAGAACAGAAACCTAGTAAGTACTCTGGTGCCACTGCTTCAACGTCTCAGTACAGGATTTCTTTGGCAGAAGCTGGATCACCTGGTCTCCCTCTGACCCAAAGGCATGACCCCCCCCCCCAAAAAAAAACGTACAGTAACTGACTTGTTCTCCAAAGATTGTCTCCTCACCTGGAATACCACCCATGCTGTTTATCTCACACAGAGGTGCACCCTGGCAGGGGCCAAAGGCAGCTTGGGGGCGACTACAACAGGGGGGGGGGGAGGCCAATCTCCTGGAGTTTTCCCTCTCTTGCTCTTTGCCAGGCTGACCAGTAGCTATCCTCAAGGACCAAGGGAGGCAGGGCCGCCGGATTGAAGATCAGTTTTAACCAGAAGGCGGCTGCAAAGAGCCACACGCGGGCCTCCCAGGAGATCTAAGGAGGGCGTTCGGAAGGCATCGCGGGACTCCAAGGATCAATTGCAAAAACTTGCTTCCAATGAGCGCCTTTCTTTATAGACACAGAGCTGTGAACCATACAGGAGCTGGGAGAAAACCTTTCCTTAGACGACCTCGACTGCTGCATGGCTAAAGGCAGTAGAATCTCTGAAGGGCAGACGAGGCCTTTTGACTAAGATCAAGTGTGTGCAGCATGACATGTAATCCCGGGCGCAACAATAAAACTGGGAGGAAAAGACGGAAACAGGGAGTAATTCCCTTGTTAAGAAAGGGGTGCCCAAGTTAAAAAAAGGAATACCAGAATATAAATGCTTGATCAATCTCTCCCTTATTATAATTGAATAGCAACGGTCTATATTGAACGTTCTAAATTTGGCCCCTTTAGTGTTTGGCCGGAAGAACTGTCAGTCAGAAGACGCTGGCTGGGTTGACTGGCTGCTTTGTGCAGTCCCGCCCAGCATTTCAAGGTCTTTTGCATATGGAAGCTGATTGGACTTCACTCCATTCCACACCTCAAACTCCCCCCCCCGCAAGGCAGTTGGAATTTTCAGTTGCATAGACAGATACAATGCCATACTCCCCACCCTACTGTATTCTGAGTAAAATATGTCCTCACTCAGAACACATCACTTCCCCTTCAAAAGAAACAAACCCAATAACACAATCATGCCACACCACAAAGACAACAGATCACACCACAAGCAGAATACCACAAGGCAAAAAATGATAGGAAAAGGTGCCAGCAGTCACCCCATTACTGCCACAGAGAGCGCTTCAGAGGATGGTGTGCAGGTCCCAGGTTCATGTTTTAAAAGCAGCCTGGGGAATTATGGACCATTCACACACTTTCAACCTTAACATACCTCATAGAGTAGTTGTGTGGATCATATGAGGGAGAGGAGAATGATGTCAGCTGCTTTGGTTCCCACTGCAGGGAAAGACTGCCCTTTCTGAGGCT